CAAATAAATTGCCAAAAACATAGAGGCACCGCATGCAGAAGCTATCGCAATTCGCGTGAAACGACCAGTGCTTTGCATGCAAAAGTAGCAAGTCCAGCCACTACTACTGTCCTGACTGGCCTTTTGTGGAGACTATAAGTTCATGAATTTGTATTATTATTTTTTTCTAATTTTTCTGATATTCCATGTTTATTGTTATGTAGATGCTATTGAACTGTAATCTATTGATTCGATGTAATTTAAAAAACATTAATGTTGTTCATAACACTAATTCATTCACCATAATGTGTAGATATAACTGTAGAATCTAATGATCAAGTTATCGACAACAGTATTCTTCATAAAGTTATATTTGTAAAATCTCAGTGAAATTGAAATGATTAATTCCAACGTTTCGTTCGACAATCTGGTACGAACTTCTTCAGGGAAATTAATCGAAATTAACATAACAAAGGTTTATATATAAAAGGGACACCTCTTGTTTTTTAAAATTTTGTCCAATCATGAGTCATGCAACAGGTATCAACATGTATCATAAATAAATAAATAAAATTGTATGAACTATGATCGAAAAATCGTTTGACCTCAGACTTTCAAAATTTGTCTACTTTTGTTAAAATATATGTGTATATGCAGTACACAATGGTGTGTGTGTGTGTGTCAATCTTCTTAGTTATCATGATGCTACTTTGTTTGTTTTATCCATCCCCCTGTTTATTATGACATTCTAATTCCTAATTTTAATTTTTATTAATTTGACCCTTGACCGGATATTATACTGGAACTTTCCCATCCATTTGATATAAATACGCGAATGTACAGCCTAGATGATGACTTCGTCGAAAAGAAAATTTTCTTCGCTGCAATTGTCTTCTCACATACATGACTTTAAAAAGTTATATTCCCCGAGGAAATTGAAATAAAAGTGTGAATAAATACGGTAATAATAATAATAACAGTAGTATGAAATGAAATTAATAAAATTGAAATGTTTCTGATTATAAACATGGTTAAATAATCAACGGTCAAGTGGTAAAATAAATAATGTCATGTACAGAATAGTTCATAGGATGTAGAGATGTTGAAAAGGGTAGAAAAATTATGGGATTACTTAAGCAGATACAAAACGTTACATGACATGATCTGAAATTTGATAACATGGAATCCCAAATTTTAGATTTATACTGACAAGTGGGACAGGTGAAGAAATAAGGGAGGGGGGAGAGATCACCAACTGTTTAGCATTTTGCAACTGATTAACACTAACTAATATCTACCGTATTTATATAATTTTTTATTTATTTTTGATTACAGCTTGATTCCACACTACATTTTTGATACAAGTATGGAGTTTTCAGCATGAATATCGGTAGCCCAAATTTTGCAGGTCGATCATAGATATCAGGTGTTCGTCGGCAGGGGACCGAACCCCGGACCATGTGCATGACCGGCGAGAGTTCTAACCACTGTGCCCCCGACGCACCCAAGTTGACTCAAGTCAGTGAATCTATGGTTTTGATATCATTTTTATAAAATGTATATGACAGTGATACTACTACTATGGGTTCTTTTGATTTTCTCATTCTTCTGGTCGCTGATCTTCCTATTGTGAATTTTTCTTCCTTTTGCTGCTGTTGTTCTATATGCTTCATTCCTTGTTCTCCTGATTCTATGGGGGAGGGGGAACCCAAAAGGTCGCTCCTCTGTAAACGATATATACATGTAACAACCTCCTTCTCAGTCAGGCGTGAGGCTAGAAATCCACCCCGTAAACAAAGCTGCTACAAAAACTTCAGTACAATGAATCTCCTTGCGATAAAAAGAAAAGTCAGTGTGGGGGCATGGAACGTTTGCAGCATGCATGTATGAGACTGGCAAAGATGTCTAGATTCCAAACGAGATGAAAAGATATGGTATTCAAGTACTGGGAATATGCGAAAGCAGATGGAATGGGAGTGGACTGACAAGACTGTTAACGGGAGAGTCAATGAACTACTCCAGTAGTCACCCAGAAGACAACCACGAGCACACCCAGGGTGTGGCTAAGCAAAGACAGCTGTTGGTGAAAGTCAAAATCACTAGTTCATTGAAGGCACAGAAGTCAGCAAAGAGTTCTCCGTTTTCATTCATTTCTCCGAGTGCTTCTCTACCCATAATGAGTTCACTTCCTGTGTTGTCTGGTCCTTTTTGGCGTTTATGTAGCCCATTAGAATTTTAGTGTCACCGACGGGAGTATTGTCCATTGTTTGCGGTAGTTGCCTGTAGAACTCTTCTTTCTTTTCTAGGTCCGTGTTGTTTGTGGGTGCATAGCATTGCATAATTGTAACTTTCCTTCCTTTTGAGTTGAATCTGGTGGTCATTATCTTGGGCGAGATCGCCTCCCATTGTAGGAGGGTTTACGTTGCCATTGGTGACATCACCATGATAGCCACACCCTGGGTGTGCTCGTGGTTGTCTTCTGGGTGACTACTGGAGTAGTTCATTGACTCTCCCGTTAACAGTCTTGTCAGTCCACTCCCATTCCATCTGCTTTCGCATATTCCCAGTACTTGAATACCATATCTTTTCATCTCGTTTGGAATCTAGACATCTTTGCCAGTCTCATACATGCATGCTGCAAACGTTCCATGCCCCCACACTGACTTTTCTTTTTATCGCAAGGAGATTCATTGTACTGAAGTTTTTGTAGCAGCTTTGTTTACGGGGTGGATTTCTAGCCTCACGCCTGACTGAGAAGGAGGTTGTTACATGTATATATCGTTTACAGAGGAGCGACCTTTTGGGTTCCCCCTCCCCCATAGAATCAGGAGAACAAGGAATGAAGCATATAGAACAACAGCAGCAAAAGGAAGAAAAATTCACAATAGGAAGATCAGCGACCAGAAGAATGAGAAAATCAAAAGAACCCATAGTAGTAGTATCACTGTCGAATACAGTTACCAAAAATGATATCAAAACCATAGATTCACTGACTTGAGTCAACTTGGTTATTTAAATACAACAGCATATACAATTATAGATATTAGGTAGTGTTAAATATTTGCAAAATGCCAAGGAGTTAGTCATAGGTATTATCAGTCAAGAAGATTATATCCACAGGCTCAGTGTTCGAAAGTAAAGTAATTACAATAAATTCCACAACGTCCACAACGTAGCGTACTAATTGAAAAGCGCATCAAGGTCGTTTTTCCAATCTAGTACAGACTAAACTTAAGTGTCCCATTCATGAAACAACAAACTACTAAAAGTGCGCCGATGACACATTCACTGTATGCAATGATTTGAGTCACGCTTCGCTATTGGGCTTATTCAACAATGTAGAGTAAGTACATAAGAATATCATCTTCACGATGCAGCACGAAAACGCTGATAATTTCCACTTCGTGGATATAAACTTGGAGAGGAAATCGTATGGGACACTAGTGAGAGGAATATGGACATATGGAGCGGTTCTTTCTTACACTTAAACAACTTCTGCCCAGCCAGTTACAAACGAACGCTGGTGAACACGCCTTTCTCCAGAGCTAAAAGAATGTGTTCTGCTCATACGATAAATTAGAGAGTGAACTAATGCTGCTTGAAAAGTGATTGAAAGAAAATGGTTATCCACAAAGTTTCATTGACAAATACCGATAGAATGAAGGCGAGAAACCTGATGAACCTACGGTCAGCAAGAAGCCGGTTGTCATCAAACTCGACTGCAAAGGCGATGCTACTATGAGAATGATATATGAAAGATAATGTGCAGTCCTGTCCAGAACGTATTCTGCAACAAAACTCATCTCTATGCTCCGAACATCTCCCTCGTTGGTGCAGTCAAAGATCAACAAGTACCCGTCATATATGTTCCCTCCAACTGTGTATACCGATTCACATGCATCTGTGGGAGCAGTTATATCGAAAGAACAGGAAGGAGGGCTTACATCGGATTCTTCAAATATGTCCCAAGGCAAGGCGCTTCCGGTCAAAGGGGCTGAGTAGTTTAATCTCTTCAATTACTAAACACACACCTGACAGACACACTGGACACCGAGTAGACGCGCTGGTATTATTCAAAATAATTAACAGACAAAAGAGCTCAGGTCTTCTTCGGTTTGCTGAGACTATCACAAAAATAAAACGGCTGAAACCTGACCTATGTGTCGTGGGACTGCAACTACTTTGGTGACTCATCCCTCAATAACTCTTGGTCTTCTAACTTCATTAACGTATCTTTTCAACACACACATAAACACAAAACACAGCAGCCATCAAAGATAAATACATTTCAAATATCGTACAAACGTTAACTGATGTGGTATAGCTACATTTGTTATTAGTAATAACAATAACTTCCACCTAATGTGTAAAGTTTTATAAATGTAGATGAAGTTGACCCCAAGCAAATGGAAATGGTACACTAAATTTATAATTTATACAAATCTCTCTCTCTGTCTCTCTACCTCTTGATGACAATAGACTTTTAGCTGTAAAGAAAGAAAGAATTTCTTCGATGAGTAGTTGGTGTTGATTGCTAAGTGGAAAAAACAAAAATAATAAAAATTTCGATTGAACAAAAAAAAATGAGTATGATATGATGATAGGATGTTGATTGGTCAAGATCTGTGTGAAAAACAAACATACAAATACATAAATAGACAGACGGACAGAACAGAAGTGAATAGAACACTCAAGTGAATCATATTATCATGGAGAGCGTAGAATTTCTCCAAGTTATATACATTATACACATAAATAAATAAATAAATAAATAATATACTGTGTCTGTGTTCTGCGTTTCTATCCCATTTGTTCGAAGGTTTTGTTTGTTTAAATTAAATATATATTGAACATTGAATGTATGGCGTTGTTTAGGCGGGAAAATTGAAATCATAAATTTTGTAAACCTCTGATATACACATTTAAATACACAAACACACACACACACTATGGAATGGTTTAGTGTGACTTATCTCGTCCAGTTGTTGTTGTTGTTGGTTTGTTTTATTGTCTAGCCTCATTTATCCACTCATCATTTGACCTAATTCATTCATATTCATATCAACTGGAACTTTATCCAGGACGGATTGAAAATATCTGCCAACGTTAACAACTTCAGCAAGAGAACGTAAATAGAAGGGATGATTCTGTGTAGAATTCAAAAAAAGATAATGAATGATAAGCAAACTATAGGTATTGAAGAATAGAGATAAAAAAATTACGAATTTTATATGAATTGTTTGGTCATAGGTAAACAGTCAAATCTAGGAGGTGCATTTCGTATTTTTCTGGGACTCGTCAGCTAGATGTATCTGACTTCAAGAGAGTGACACTCGGAGATGGGACTCGGACCAGGCGTCCATCACTTGAACTGAGACCCACATATAATGTAGCCGCCAATAGAGCTTGATAGGACCAAAATGTTTGGCGTCTGTTAACATGTCTGCTGTCTCCTTGCAAGGATGCATCAATGATGTCAGTGGATTTAGCTTGAAGTGATTTGGCGGATGATGGGCTAGCAGTGGTATTCAAGATGGACATTTCGTCCTAATTGGGACTCGGCAGCTGAACGCAGACATGCGGTTCAATCAATCAACGAGGAAGTTGGACACCCAGGTTGATGAGTTCCGAATAGGACGAGACACGCATCTTGGATTCTAATGTTAGTCACCATCAACCAAATTATTTTTAAAGATCGTTTGATTTTTTTTATATGTGATCAAGGAGAGGAATCTTTAATCTGTGTAACTTAATTCTCATATCTTTGTACTTCTTCTCAATAAGTTAATAGTTCCTGCGGTAGCATTATTATTCCCTTGATTTCAGAATGGGAAAAATAAAGCTTCAACGTTACACTCCCGTTTCATTGTATTCTATACAATCTCTTTCAGCCGGCCTCGTGCATGACTGGCCATAGGTTTCCACATCTTCTTCCTCCTTCTCACACGACCTCCTCCATGTCACCCTAGGACCCCGGCCTAATACGTCACTTACCATTTGGTTTCAACTCTAGGGCCCGCTTAGAGCAGGATATCGTTCAATGGCTACTTCAGTGTGTATCCGTTTCATTTTTGACTTCCTCAGGCTTATATGTTGTGAATTAAAATATTAAGGGCAGAATATTCAACAAAGAGACTCTTCTCAAAGACTTTGTTGTCCAACCGCACAGAAACACTGTCTCTCTCATCACCAATTAACAAATAAATCCTCTTCTTCGAATCCAGTATGATTAAAGTTGACAGAAGACTCCTTTGCAGAAGTTTAGTGAAGATATACGAACACCAACGTACCCTTGATTTAAACGACAGCTGGGAATTACCTGTGGTGGTGATTACAGTGAAATGATAACCTTGTATCTCAGCTATTAGAGTGCTGGATTAGTAAGTTGGAGAGTGCATGATTTGAATCCAGCTTCAATCACTACTTTCAATCATTATGGCCCAATTCATCGAGATTACAACAGTCTGCCAATCCATGCATCATCTCAGAGGATATTGCCATCTAAAATAAACCTCATCATTAATAAGAATTGTATCAGCCTTAATTACACAATAAAGCTGACGTTATCGACGTTATCCACGATAAAAATTGAATGCTGCATATTATTATGATTTTTAATTACGGAAAAATCGGAGATAACCCTGGAACTCTCCACAGTGTGCACCTATAGCCTCACCAGGAATCGAATGTAAGACCATCAGGTTACGAGGATATCTCGTTGACAATTCAGCATCTGAGATGGAATCCAATAGCCCAATGTCAGTCCACGCTATTCAGCGTCACTCGCAGGGATTGTCAACGATGAGTGTTTTTCCTCCCATTCAACTTGGTACTAACGACTTCCCAGTGGAACTCTTCAAGCAAATTCATCCCATAGTCAGACACTTGTGAGGACTACACTAATTTTCAACTGTTGATTGGTGGGGATTTTTTGACTGATTAAGCACTAGATTCCATCCTACTGGTTGAATGGTCAACTAGCTCATCTTGTAACTCGAAAGGTCATGGGTTCTATCACTGGAGCTGAAGAGTCCCATAGGAGAACGAAACAGATATCGAATACTACCTGCTCGCTCTCAATGCTCCACTAACTTAAATCAGTTCGTGATCAAACTTTATAAAAAATCGAATGCCTTCAAACTAACACCTGACGAGGAAATATATTTCCCTTCGGTGACTTTATGACTTCAGTCGTAAGGTATAGCAAGTTGTATTTCACGATACGTGAAGAGTCAGTTGTTAGAACTAAAAATTGGTCAATGTATACGAATACGATAACAAAAAGGGGTTGATCTTCACGTCATACTAGACAAAAGAGAGGTATTGTGGAGTTGTAGCGTATTGGTCTAGACACTCAACTTCTAGTCAAGCTAGATTAATTGGTCGAACCCCAACCCTCGCACCGAGGTCTGGACAGTGTCTCGACGGCAGCGATATAAGAAACCAGCCCTAGCACAATAGGTGATGGCTCAGTGCCAACTGTGCATGCGAACGACGAATGGTTGTTAGAGTAACATGGAGTTGAGTTGAGTTCAACGAGAAATTATTACGACAGCATTAAAGAATTACCATAAACTAACCATGAGTGCTTGATACTTTGGTCGAGATTTCACTTCTTTCTTTAAACATTGAGAAACAAAATCACGAAATTCTGGTGAAAAATCACTCGACTGTGTAGATTCATTTAAATTACTGTTATTATTATTATTCGAATGACTATTCGGATTATTCGAATGGTAGTCAATATTGACAAGTGTGGTTGTTGATGATGACATTTGAATTGGTGAACGAATGTATTCCGGCAAACTGGGAGGATCATCGTGTAGAACACATGTCAATTGTTCAAAAACAGAATTCCATGCTGGATAGGGAAATTGACCAGTGGCTAATTCAATGAGTGTTATGCCTAAACTCCATACATCTGAACGTATATCATAACCGTTAACACTTAAATCTGGATGAATACGTTCTGGCTGTAATGTAGGGGGGAGAAAAAGGAAGAAACATGGTTAGAGCTTAAAATAAGAATACATAGTATGATATGTACTACTCACAAAATGTATAAGTAGTATATAGACGAAGATATAAAGTGACCAAAAATTGAAATCAATGCTTTAAGTCAATGGCTGGCAGCAGAAGTAGAATTCCTCGAAAATCTGGATTCAATTTACTTTGTGGACATGAAATAATTTGACTGGACAACTTGTTCAGCCTTGGGCCAATCACTGACCAATCAGAACAATTTATTCTCCGCTGACCTAGCAGAACTTTTAAAAATGGGTAGGAGTGTATAATTGCGATGTCTTCTCCACTTAACAGAGTTTAATTATAAAAGTAAAGAGTAAAAGAATTTCAAGTAGAAAGAGGTGATACACTGATTTCGTCATGAATAGTGAATTCAGGAGCATTTAGTTCTCGTATCCTCGACTAAGAATCATTTGTCAGTCTACACGGAAGAACTGAAGAATCGTGGCAGTTCAAGATAGTAAACTTCATCAAGACACACGTAAAAAACTGAGGATAATACATTCAGCATTTCATCATGAGCTGACATTAGTTAGAGAACCATTGGAAAACCTGGGAGTACTGGACAGCTGTTTCATCCTAGTTTGGGACTTTTCAGCAGTACGCAGCCACCGGGATTCGAACCCAGGACCCTCCGGTTACAAGGCGAGCTCGTATACAATTAAGCCACTGGGACCCGATCCAATGGTCCTTGAATTCTAACTTCTGCCAATTCACGACATAGCGCGACCCCAAGCCAATGTCTTCGGCGAGTATTTGTCTTCGCACCCTACTGGTCACGACTTCCCACTGGAACTCCAGGTAACTGCCTACCTGAATAGGGCCAGTCGCCAGTGAGCATCTCATTGGTATTCAAGTGTTGGTTTGTAGGGATTTGATTGGTTTCAGGATTTCATCATGAGCTGACATTAGTTAGTTAGTTAGTCGTGACCAATAGGATGCAGCTGGTCGGGTGTGAGGACAAATACTCGCCGAAGACATTGGCTAGCGGTCGCGCTATGTAGTGAATTGGCCGAAGTTAGAATTCATGGGCCATTGGATCGGGTCCCAGTGGCTTAATGGTATACGACCTCGCGTTGTAACAAGAAGGTCCTGGGTTCGAACCCTGCCGCTGGGTGTGTACTGCTGAAGAGTCCCAAACTAGGATGAAACAGCTGTCCAGTACTCCCAGGTTTTCCAATGGTTCCCTAACTAATGTCAGCTCATGATGAAATCATGTAACCAATCAAATCCCTACAAACCAACACTTGAAAATACATTCAATGAAATTACAATGAATGAAAGTATGAGGAAGAAAGGATAGTGGGAACTTAATGTATCTCTGAGATCATAATGAGTAGTTACTGGTCTGCACTATTGAAATGATAAGATAAGATAAGCTTTATTCCAAATCAGTACTTGTGATACAGAATGGAATTCTCAGCATTTTACTACAATATTGCATCCAGTTTTTACATTAACAATAAATAAAGTTCTACATAGATTAAAGTTATCTCAGTCAGTTTTGACAACAACATATTAGTATGTCGGTAGCAAAGCCAAAATTTAAACAGTGTTTGAAGGTGTTAGAAAAGTAGATACTACTAGCATATTTACTGGCGTAAGCGATAGCAAAATGGTCGAGATATACAGAGTGTGAAAGAACGAACAAGAATGTTTTAAGTAGAGTTTGAAAGGAAGAGAGAAACAAAGCAGCACATAACAAAATTAAATACAGAATGAAGAGCGAGAAAACGTTGTACCTATAAATGATGTGAGTTGGAAAGACGAGATCCATTGGTTCTACTGACCATTTAATAAGTTAAAGGTTTCATGCCTGATGCATTCTTTATCGCACAGAACACGGGCTAGGTAGGGTATGGATGAGTTTTTGTACTTACTAGTGCGGGCATATAGTTTCCTATATAGGCTTCTGGTTTTCCCTGAAGAGATACATGGGGAGAGTTGTGAATGTAGAGGGTGTTGTGAGTCAGATAAAATGGATTTCGCCCATTTTTCACATGAGTCCATATGCCTCTCCACCAGAATATTAACAAGCTGGCTAAGTGGCAAACTGCTTACCCTGCTGACAACCTTTAACATCCTACGTAATAGGGTATAGTCTTTCTTCAGTAGCCCAGGAAAGACTAAGGGGGAGCAATAGAGAATAATAGGCAGAATACGGGAGTTAATAAATTGTAAGACTAAGGGTTGGGTTACACCAGAATGTCTTAACTTCTTGATGTAGAAGGTAAGACGGTATATTTTCTTGGAAATCGTCAAGATATGAGACGACCAGGAAAGGTCAGAAGATAGAGTGACGCCTAGGTATTTAATTTCCGACTTGGTTTCTATTTCACTGCCATCTATGTTGCACACCTCGTGAGTGCTAACCAGTTTGTTTAGGTCAGATTTATGCCTAAAGGTGAAATTAACTGTTTGGCATTTGGAGGGATTGATATGATATTGAGCCATATCAATAGTTTCCAGCTATTTGCTCTTAACTGCTCGAGGACCCTCCCTACATGGCTGACTGGAAACGACAATCAAGCACTGCACAAAATGATGCCGTATTTTGATTTGACCACAAGCAAAATTGTTCTCCAACCTAATCCTATGCCAGGTAACATAACAATACGAGGCAGGTGATGACTTGGCGTGTGTATTTCATATTCCTGAGAGCTTAATCGATGCGCCTTCACGGCCTCTTCGAATAACTTTTTCTTATTACTTACCACTCTAAAACTGACCGTAATATCATCATATCACCATACCACCTGCTATGAGAAATCGAACGCAAACGACTATCGTCAAAGACAGCTAGTCTCCCCAAGTATTCCACTTGCAGTAACCACGTTTCACAGAGAGACAGAAGGACAGAGTGAGGTCTTGAGCAGTTTTCATATTTTTCCTGATGTAGTTGTGTTCTCTGAGCTGCATAGTTTATTTGCGAAGCTTTCATAGCTCTACTAGGCAACATCTTCACAGCATACTTCAATATGTTGAAGTGAGCATTCAGATTTCTCCATGAGTTTATTATCACCTCTCCTGGTGGGCGACATCGAACGTGAATGGTTATTTTTGTGTTTTCACACCCTTTAGGCTACTTGTATTGGAACTGGTATTGATTGTTCCCTTGATCTGAAGCTTGGCCCTTTGTGTGTGTGAGATTTTCTTCTTATTAATTGGTAAATTTTGTCTATGTCAATGTGTCTATTGATTGACGATTCACTGGAATACCAGGCTTCTAAAAATTGTGGCATTTTTGGTGTTTCCTCTGTCTAATATTTAAACGTTGTCCCAGTCGAATTGATGTCCGTGGTTGTCTGTATGCAGCGAGTGATATGAGGGAGTGGATGTCATGTCTTTTGACGGCTAGTTTATGATCATGGGTACAAAGACGAAGGGGACGTCGACTTTGGGCAATGTAGTGTAGATTATTTTGGTTCATCTTCTTTCGCTGTTGAGTCTTTTGGTTGACATAGGGCTGGCTGAGTTAAACGATTTTGTTGGTTTGTGTGCTACATCAATTCCTAAAGGTTTGGAGAGTCTCAGATATCTTTTATATATGGTAGGATGATTTTCTTTGTGCTTTCCTTGGGGGCTTTGATTTCATAGGTTCGCTTGAGGATAGATGTCTTTTGATGAAATTCAATGGATATCCATTCTTTTCGAAGACGTCCATGAGATATCTTTCTTCAATTTTCCTTAAGGTGGGAGTACTGCATTGAGTCCTGACCAGTAGTGAATCGTCAATCAAAAGACATATTGACATAGAAAAAATTTACCAATCGATATGAGGCACATATTTCACGTCTATGCGAGAGATGACGTTTATTGTATCCATACTTAGATTACACGTTAGCAATCAGTCCATTACTACTTACTTTACTTCGGCTATCTCCTACGGGAGGATGAGCCGGCTTCATGAACCATGAAGTTTCATGGGAATTGGGTACGAGTGATGTCCCCAGCATCGCTCGGCCTTTTGTTTGAGAGTGCAGCTCTAGCCTTTACACAACCAAGTGTGACCTACAAGGCAGTAGGAGTGGAGTAGGGAGTCCACTATCCATTGGCAGCCGGTGACCGGAGTCCGGTTCATACGCCTTTTTGAATGGGGCCAGTCATCCAGGGCATCCAATAAGCCCTTTGTCCATACGTCTGCCGGTGAGCTCCGGTGAGCTTCATACGCCAGTTGTTGGAGGTTTGGAATCAGGGTTTAGCCATCTCCCCTAGACTGTCATCCAATGGACAGTCGACCCGATGGAGAGCGCCGGGCATCCGCTTTTGCCCTCTCACTTCGGTGAAAAAAAACACCTCCGCCACGTGAAGGCAGTGAGTAGGACTTCCTCAGGAGAGGCTATGTAAGACGCCCAGTCATATGGGAGCATTTCAAGAGGTGTACGGAGGGGTGGCCAACCCGCAGCGCAAAACACCCACCCCCGACCATCCTGAGGCTTTGGAGGTCCATTAGGACTGTTACAATTTCCCAAATAAGTGAAATGGTCAAAACACAACCATTTCACTCCCTATAATTAAACTGCAGGTGGATGCAAACTAGTATTAGTGTGTGTGCTATTCTGATGAGTAGGGAAGATAAAAGTGCAAGAAGGGCAAAAATCTAGACCCTACAATTAGAGATCGTAGAGCAACAAATAGAAATAGAAAAGTGTATTAAGATAAAGAACACACACGATAAAGAATGACTGTATTTCTGTGCCCACATTCTCCTTTGGTAACCAAAAGTATCCAGATCACAAAGATCAAAGAGGCAAGCATAATCACATCGTGATATGTACTACTGATTGGTAGCTATCAGTAGTTGTATACCATCCATATCAATCAGCCAGAAGTCTACGCTAGCTAACCTGAAGTAATCTAGACACCTGACAGCGATTTTGCTTGTTTACGACTCACTTCACCAGTAGTGTAGGCCAGTTTGATTCAGGTTAGAGAGCCGTAGCACACTGCAAATAGCTAGCTGGAATGTGGAGTGGTGGTTCGCACTGATCTAGATCTCGAAGCTAAATGACTGATGGTCTCAGCCATACACAAACGCGACAACCATTTAGTGAGTAGATGATTTCTATCTGGCAAGCAAGTACCATTAGTCAACTGGAGCAGTTAACAACTACTCATTTTATTAATCAGTATTATTATTATTTCCTTTAGTTCCTAGAAGAACATAGGTCTTCAGCCACGCGTCTCCATTGCGTTCGATTCTCCGCCAACGTTTTCATCACATGGCTCTACATGTGACCACATGCTTTCATCTCCTCTTCCTTGCATCACCTCCCCCTCCATGTCATCCCACCCTCACACTGACGACCAACTCACCGCTTCCCATTCCATTCAGGTTCCACTTGAGCGATGGCCTGGCATGTGTCACCGACTTCATGGTTTGTTTTTTCAGAGTATGGCCAATCCAATCCACCTCCATTTCTTCCTGCACAGCTTGTTACACAACCAGTTCGTGCTTGGTGGGTTCGCCCACTGCCAGAGATCTCTCGCTGTTGCTGATCATTTTTTCTAGCCGGCCATCTGATCTTGAGTGAAGGAAGCTGTTGATGTGTAATTTGTTCGAAGTGCCCATCGTGGCGCGGCGTGGCACTAAGTCTCTGATCTGTATAGTAATTAGCACCGAGTGACTTTAAATTGGAGTTGATCTTCACACAGACTTGAGAGAAATAAAAAGTTTGCCTTGCTTTCTCGATCTTCCCTTTGGATATCCTCGTGTGTTCCGTTGGCCCGTAGTTGAAACGATGCTTCCCAGGTAGGTAGGTAGGTAGGTAAAGGAGGTTGCTTCTTTCAGATTTCTCCCATTTGTGTTGATTGTTGTCTGTTGTTTTTTCTGTTGCTACTGGCCAGGAATCTTCATCACCTACCTCTGTTTTCTCTATGTTCACCTGTACTCCTATCATTCTTTGATGCCTCTTCTGCCAACTTGTTGCTTTTCATCACTTGTATATCTTCCAGTTTGTCAGTAGACAGTCAGTATATACATTAGTAGTAGTATATACATTAATATAACGTGTGGTTTTTTGTAATACTCCCTTTTGATCTGACCGGCGTTTGTTTAATTTGATCAAAGCAACATTTTTGAGCTTATATTCTTTCATTATATTCCATCTAAGTTAGTATCATCAATACATTGCTGTCCTTTTCTTTTTTTTATGATTGTTTGAAGTGCTACAGCATCATATGAAGGACACATCTGAGCAACACTGATTCAATCATAAATCAATCGATCTGTCATTCAGACACTTCTCTATGCGTGTTAAGCGATTCCAGGCATATAACTGGAATGATGGCATATATCTGTTAGAATCCATTAAAAGCCATTTTTAGATTTACATTTACCTTTTATTTTGCTTCGATTGTCTCTCACGCTGTCTCCGCGTGTGATCTTTACTCTAAATGGTTATATATATATATATATATATATATATATATATATATATATATAAGATGAATCGGTGCAACAGCTTTGATTGCTTTGAAACACACACACACACAAGCACACAACACTTCACTGCTTTGTATTTTATCGATTTAGAATTTCAATATATCAAATTTACAATTTACAAACAATCATGGTATCAAGCAGATCGCATATTCTGGTGATCTGAATAATTTGGTTGCCGAAGGAAACTACAGTGACTGCCTGGTTGACTGGCTTTAAGGTAAAACTATTTTGGACAGATATGCAACAGCTCAAGTTGCAACACAAACACACACACGCCTCCTTGTAGCACACAAAACAAGAGATAGAGAGTAAAGGGAGGTTTGAAAAGAGGCTTATTAAACAGAAATATGAGGCAAAAAGAATAGTAATATGGAAGAACACCAGAATTGTATTGGGTATTATAAATCATAAAGAACGAATGCACATGCATTGAGCCTTATGAGCAATTGTCTCCAGCCCCTTCATTGGTTTTTACCGTCTCTAAGGCCCCCCAACCAAGAGGTCTACACCTTCCTGCGTAAACTAACTGTTGTGGATTTCACATTGACCGATGAAGTCAGCCATGTTTTCCGACCTGATCCCACCTATATCAGCTAAAACTGCCATTGTCGAGGAAGGCGATGGCTAGGCTAGACATGAGTAACATATGACCAAGCCACCTGGATCGTTGCATCTGTGTCACAACCTCGTCGATTGACTCTCCGCTCCGCTTACCTAACACTCATTGGAGGTTAAACTTATAGATTGCTCACCTTGTTATCACACTTAACACGGGAGATAGAACGCATACACCTATGATTAAGGATAGCTAACCAGGCTTTTCATATCTTCCAATTTCAATGGTCCTGTCTGACAGCTATCAAGGAGGTTGGAAATGAAGTGAAGTGGTCAACACGCTCTACCGCATTCACTGTCTCCCTAAGGAGCGATTCGATTTTGCCATGTAGATAACCATGAAGGATGAATCACGTGGGGCTGAATGACCACACTCTAACAGGTGATCACAAATAGGCGACTTTGCAGTTCTACGTTCGCCTTTCATTAACCAAATCGGATAGTTTTCAGCTACACGTTTTCGGAGATTACGCTTACAACGTCCAATATAATCAGCTCCACAGGAGCAGGTAAAAGAGTAAATGCACATAGATGTAAACATAAGCGGTAACCTATCCTCGACGCCTTTTTTTTGGTATCGATTGACTTATAAAACAATCTTTAATGATTTTGCAATTTATCCACTTCAACTCTACCCCTTATAACATTTTAATTATAGTTATTCTTATCACTTATATATGTATATTGGCTGAGCAATTATTTAGTGCCACTTAATAACCTTTTTCTGTAATATAAATAAATACGACTGTACAGTTGGCTTGAAAATAAAGTCGTTGGAAAGAAATTTCGTCGCTGAACAAAAAAAAAAGCAACTGTGTTTTTACTTATGAAGAAATGGGTATTTTTTCGTGACATGTAAACCAGTTAGAAATCTCAAATATGAATAAATTACTTCAAATCTCGTCAACCGAGTGGATGATTTACTGGCGTTTGAAGCGATTTGTGTTGAGTTCGAGTCTATGTGGGAATAGTATCACTTACACTGCTAACTGATTGATTGCAAGTACATTAAAATGAAGAGCTTCAAATAGGACGATTCCACTGCTCGTCACTATTACACCAACTAAATTTTATCTTGGTGATCAATTTTCACATTTACGAAAAAGTAATTATCATGGATTCAGTTCAATAATAATAATAATAATAATAATAATAATAATAATAATAATAATAATAATAATGACAGAGGAACGACAGTCGAATCAACTACCACCAACTTACCGCCATATACGGTTTACAACCGGCATCACGTGATCGAGCTATACTATCAACTAGTTGACCAGAGATACCAAAATCACACAATTTCACATTGCCATTACAATCGATTAGAATATTTGAAGGTTTCACATCTACGAATACATATGCGTAAGAAAAAGCAAACAATGTATAAGCATCAAGTTTAATTATGAAACGCTTAGGAAAAAAAATTGAACATGCAAGATTTAACCTGCTGAGTTGTTTATATCCTCAAATAAGATGTGAAGTCGATGAGATTAAACTTCCATAGCTAAAGAGTCAAGGTCTGCAGAAAGTTGATCTTGAAGAGCTAATCTGATTTAGAGAATGCTACGAAATGTCATTCCAAATCAAATCCTGCCTGCATTTATAGATTTGGTGAGGGTAGGCATGTACAGTATGCCATTTACTCCCTAGGTACTTTTTTTCTACAAATCAACGCTGTCAGGTAGGTCTAGTGCTTTTACCGTTAGGGTTTAGGGCTTAGGTTAGGATTGGGGTTCCAATTAGGTTAAAGAACAGTGTCAGGAATATAAAGTAGTAGTAGCAGAAGTACAATAATCAAAAGTCGCCATGGATGAAGACGTCATCTCGATCGGGTATCATATGATTTCTCTATGGATTTCTCCTTAGAGTAACTCGGAGACATTTTTAAAACAAATAAGAGACAACTATACAGTGTAGTATCATGTTTGTAATGTTGGTTGGCACATTTTCCCAACAATTACGGGACATTTTTGCGTCTGAATTCTGATTGGTCGCTCAAAGTCAGAGAGGCTTTAGCTACCTTACTTACTTACTTTACTTCGGCTATCTCCTACGGGAGGATGAGCCGGCTTCATGAACGTCTCGAATCATCGCTGCCCAGGCGCGGCAATTTGTAAGAGAGTTCATGAAGTTTCATGGGAATTCGGTACGAGTGATGTCCCCAGAATCGCTCGGCCTTTTGTTTGAGAGTGCAGCTCTAGCCTTTACACAGCCAAGTGTGACCTACAAGGCAGTAGGAGTGGAGTAAGGAGTCCACTATCCATTGGCAGCCGGTGACCGGAGTTCGGTTCATACGCCATTTTGAATGGGGCCAGACATCCAGGACATCCAACAAGCCCTTTGTCCATACGTCTGCCGGTGAGCTCCGGTGAGCTTCATACGCCAGTCGTTGGAGGTTTGGAATCAGGGTTTAGCCATCTCCCCTAGACCGTCATCCAATGGACAGCTACCTATGATAGTTTAACCTGGCAAAGTTAGACTTTAAGCACCAATCAAATAAAGGGGCATTTTTGGGTATGGGATACATATATTTATGAAGAAAATGCATAAAAACTGTATAAATGTGTTACAGGGGATACCTTTTTCACACATAAAAATATCTCCCAGTTTAGCATAGGAGTATTTATGGAAAAGTTACATCACATCCAAATGACTATAAATAATATCGCCTTGTGATCTGTGAATGGCTCCAATCCTATTTTTTAACCTTCCTCATAAGTCTTTGATAGAATTGGTGTGGGTCCCTGTAATGAGATCTAAAAAATCATTGGAGTTGTTGATTCTGTGATGAATATATCGAAGGAATAACAAGGAGTTGGACCTTTCCAATCATCTGTGTGTATTATGGATCCTGGTTTCACCGGTGGAGTAATAATAGACATTAAAGTACTCAACTTTCTATCTGATGTCCTCTCACAATGAATATTCTCTGTAGACAGGTATCATATAAGCCAATCACCCAAATGTTATTCGCTCGTCCTCGAACACGACTATATTTTTCCTTTAATAAGATGGTGTCACCTACACGTATAACGACACCTCCTCTTTCGAATAGGGAAGTAAGCCTCTCCATTTTACAGGATGCGATATCCCTGCAGTGCTGGTACCACTGAACTATTGATATGAGACTATTTTGAGTTTCAGCAGCTACACCTCTCACAGGCTGTTTTAAAACCCAGTGATCTGGGATCTTGCAAAACGTGTTCCTGAGAAATATTAGAATCATCAGCAAACGCAACTGCATTACAGCAGACATTCGATCCGAATCAAGCTAAATAGAAGCTTCAACTGATGTGAATAAAATTCATTGGGCCGCTGAAGGTCAATGGTGTAGAAGCAATCCACTGGTAGTTAGTTAGTGGTTTTCAGAGTTTAACTTCGCCGAGAAAGTCAACAGGCACTCTCAACGCTCAATAATGTTCAGTCCATTTTGTCGTTAACTAATTAATATAAACCAAGATATACGAGTGAGTCACTACGTACTATGAACAAGAAAGCTGATTGCGCAATAAATTCGAGATTGAAATAAGACAGAGGACACCACCGATGCTGGACCTAGTCATATCGGTTAGATATACTACTTTACTACGCTAACGATATTATACGTCGGCTACCTGTTTCCCACAGTCCACCATGCTTAAGCCAAAACACATACAACGACATCAGATACAAGATATGTTTATCCGTATAAGTACTGAGAAAGAGTTAAAAGTGAGTCTACCAAGGAAGATAATAATATATGCAGACGTATATATGTAGCCAATGGCGTTGCGAGACTGCAGATAGCCAATAAGAATATTCCCTGACGAGAATACCTTGCTTGATCCTCCAAGGACGAAAATATCCAGACAACCTTGACACAGTCTCGCCATAATCATGTGATATGTCTGACTACCATATTACATTATAAATCAAGCCAGTCTTAATAAGAGACAAAGAGTGCATTGCTTCTGTAGTTCAGTGGCGGTGGAATGCTCCCTAGCCAAGCTGGAAATGGTCTAGAATTCATTCTCAGTCAGTCATTCTTAAACACCAAAGTGTCGAAAAACCTTGTAATAGTCAATAATCAAAGTAACGAAATGGCTTGAACAAATCTGGAGGACAAAATCTATGAGGAATAAAATAATATACCTAACCAGCAAAAAAAAAGTTACATGATTTCATCATGAGCTGACATTAGTTGGGGAACCATTGGAAACCTGGGAGTACTGGACAACCGTTTAGTCCTAGTTTGGGGCTCTTCGTCAGTACACACCCACCGCCGGGGTTCGAACCCAGGACCTTCTTGTTACAAGGCGAGCTCTTATGCCACCAAGCCACTGAGACGCGATCCAATGGCCCACGAATTCTAACTTCGGCCAATTCACGATATAGCGCAACCGCTAGCCAATGTCTTCGGCGAGTATTTGTCCTCACACCTGACCTGCTGCACCCTACTGGTCACGACTTCTCACTAGAACCCCAGGTAACTACCTACCTGAATAGGGCAAGTCGCTAGTGAGCATCTCATTGTTATTCAAGTGTTGGTTTGTAGGTCGCGCTATGTCGTGAATCGGCAGAAGTTAGAATTCATGGGCCATTGGATCGGGTCCCAGTGACTTAATGGTATGCGAGCTCGCCTTGTAACCAGAAGGTCCTGGGTTCGAACCCTGCCGCTGGGTGCGTACTGCTGAAGAGTCCCAAACTAGGATGAAACAGCTATCCAGTACTCCTAGGTTTTCCAATGGTTCCCTAACTAATGTCAGCTCATGATGAAATCATGCAAACAATCAAATCCCTACAAAACAACACTTGAATAACAAAAGAAGTATGTACAATCCCTATTTCTGTATTGGTCGGAGAAAGATAGACATTTATTTATTTATATTTTGTTAATGTAGTTAATCTATGTACCTTTCCCTCAATACTACGATTAGTATTAATATTATTACTACTATTACTATTCTCACTTGTCATTCTAAATCCCAAAAATCTTCTTGTGATGGTGAATTCTATCTTATCAAATTTCACACCATATTATGTAACTTTTTTATGTTAGCCTATCAATCCTATAAGTATATACACCTATTTCCAACATATATACGCCATCTGAATTACTCTATATATAGGATTAATTGTTTTTCCACTCAACACTTGATATTCAACTATGATTATAATCACAGATATTTTTAATTGCATTTCATACTACTACTATTATTATTTGATGTATTCACACCCTTGATTCAATTCCCTCATCGGATATGATTTCATAAAAATAGCCATAACCATGCCGAGATTTCTTAGAATAGCGATTAGAATAAAAGCAGTTACCAGCATTACAATATGCTGGGGAACAGGGATGTAACTGCAGTGAGGTGTTTCCTTCGGACGAATAGCATGGCAGCTATGCTGTCTCTCCACTCTGGAAGAAAGAGGAGGTTAGAAAAGGTCGACCCACAAAATAGTACATCCCGACTTACCCCATCTACGGTGGTCTCTAGCCGGCAGTAAGTTACTAATACAGGACCAAACCTAAAAGCTAGTTTCGACAGGCCGTGTGTAACCGGCTGGCCTCAAGTAGAGTTGTCCCCTGGGCTGTACGGTCACGCAACACTAACTCTCTTCCTTTTCAGGTACCCCAAGAAAAAGTCTACTTCCGCAGAATGGGCAGTCGGGAAGTAACAACCACTCAAACACCTTCCAAAAGCACACGAAGCCTTCATGATCACCATTCTTTTTTGTCCCTATCATCCTCATGATCTTGTTTTCCTACTGTTTATTCAAAACAAGTAGACAATTTAAGGCTTTATATATAATCTGTGACACATGGTAAAACACACACATAAAATTGACCGATCACTCACCTCGATGAATTACTTTGAGCGCAGTTTTCAAATAATCCAAAGCTGATACAGTCTGAATTTTTGAATAAAAACGTGAAGCAAAAAAAAAATTACAAGATATTTGTTGTCTGCAAAAACAATTTTTAAATTGAGATATTTAGCAATATGGGTTTTTCTGTAGGGATTCGAAATAGTTCCAGTGCAGATTTCGTCAGGAACCAACGGCACTTAAAGATCACTCATTGTTTTGTCCTAGTTCGAGACTCTACAGCAGTGCGCATGAGCACACAAGACGCTACCAGGAGTCGAACTCGGGACACTCAGGTTATAGTAGGCAAATTGTTTGGAAATACCCTCCTAGACGATCTATTTATAATATATAATATACTTATTAAGACGTTTTAACTACCCTTGTAATAACTATGCGTATTCCCCCACCTAGACTATGTATCACATATCTGCATATGATACGTTGATTTCAGCCTGTATTATTTGCTTTTGTCCTTGGTGAATCTTTAATTGTAATACTTCTATTTATGGTTGGGTGTACATTGGCATGTTTTTTAACAATTTGAGTTAGTTTGAGTGAATGGAGGTCATTCAAACCAGGGACTGACTGCCTCTTGGAAACATCGGTGTGTGATTGTTATGGACAGAGCTTTTGATTGATCCCATACCTCATTGGGAATATTCTTCTCGATTCGAAGGTACTTTTTACAGTTGAACTTTGCTTAACTAATTTCAGATTAACCAAAGGTTTCACAGATCAGTGAATTCCTGTCCAAGTGTTTGGATAATCAACGAGTTGGGTCTCATAACCCCAAAAGTTCAGGGTTCGATTCCTGGTGCGCATTGCCGAAGAGTCACACACTACGGCGAAATGACTGTCTAGTGTTGGTTCACAACGAAATCTACACTGAAGTTTTAAATGGCTTTTTGTTTGTTTTCTGAGCTGTAACACTAGTACTTGTGGAGTTATGGTTCATTGATTAAACAATCCAGCTTTCAGCCAACAGGTCCCCGAATATCAACATCACACTCCACATAACTCGTTCAGATTTCGAATAATAAGTATGACTTATGGTCAACTATAGGAAAAATCTCTTCTGGGTAATTGAATGCTCTAACTAGACGTTAAGCTAACCAAAGATGCTGTCTCACTTGACATAACAGCGGTCGTCAACTAACATGATCTTTTAACTAAATCACTTGAATATTTCACAGTCAAGACTATAAATAATAAAAAAGTTAGTTACTGATAGTCTTCGTTGTACTGTGAATATATAATTATGAATAACGGGTAAGGTTCCATTTGATTTTTTATTCCTTCACGTTCTCAGTGGAACATAAAGGCTTCAAGATAGAGGTTTGAAGTTTCTGTAGCAGTTTATTTTTACAGGATGGGGTTGCTAGCCTTGTGCTCAACCTACCCTCTTTGTCAGTTATATTACTGGCTTAGCGAGGTAAATGAGTGCGGGGGATTGAACCCCAGACCATGTGCACGGTCGGCGAGCGTCCAAACCACTGTGCCACCGACGTGCACCATTTGATAGTTTAGTGTTTAAAGTCACTTGAATGTCTCCAAAGCGTATGATCCCAACTGGTCTCCATTTTCTTCAGTATATTGATTGGACAGTATATTAACGGCTACTTCTTTGAATTGACAGAGAGTTCGTGAGTAAATATCCTTTCTAGTCAGCCACCTGGCTTTCAGTATTTGACGAAGGCAGCAGTTGTTGATAAAAATTCACAGTGAGTAGCCTGTTGGTGATGTGTAAAATAAACAAGTCTATGAACCATATAGTAGAAGCGCTGACTATAACTAAAAAACAAATATTGAAACTGCACAAATTGTTCGTTGAGGTAAGAGGCTGATTTGAAACGATAGAAGACGAAAGACTTGGTAAAGGAACGTTTGATTAGAAATTGGTATTTCTATATAGCCAATTTTTGTATACCTTATCTTCAACGCACCATTTGCACACATCTTTGTGTTGTGCTGTTTCTAGACTTCCAGTTGTATTTCTCTGTGTTTCTTTCACGTCTCCCATGTGTGTCCACAAGGCTGAATCATTTGCCTTCTCTGAACTCAACTGCATCTCCCTGCTATTTGATGTTTTTATGCCGATGAATGATGATCGTCTCTTTATATTCTACTGGTAAATCTTATCAGTAGACCTCGACACAGTATACCTTCATTTTTATTTTTGATTACAGCTTGATACCACACCGTATTTTCGGTACAAGTATGGAATTTTCAGCATGTGATATCGGTAGCCCAAATTTTGCAGGCCGACCATAGATATCGGGTGTGCGTTGGCAGGGGATCGAATCCCGGACCATGTGCATGGTCGGCGAGAGTCCTAACCACTGTGTGCCAACGACGCACACGAGTAAAAAAACAAACATTTGTTTAGATTTTCTGATTCTGACTGGCTTTAACACATCTTGAATGCCAGAATTTATTGATACAAGTCCTTATAAGCACTGTTAAACTTCAAAGCAATACTGATTGCAATTTAACAGCCAGTGTGGATGCAAAGCATGCATAACAACTTGAATCGTTTAGTGATATAGAGATTGGCTTCATTGCTTAATTACCTAAATATTCAGATTATTAAATATTCCCATAGTAAAATTAAGAACAACACATTTAAGCGAACAATATTGTGCTTTCAATTACATCTTATCATCAGGCTTAACTTTAATACACCTACATAACTATACAAATAAAAATTCAACTATAAACCAATCATGGTGTTTTGTCTATAGGATAATAAGATGGTGAATATAAATTGTGCAATTAGTCATGATAATAGTAATTATAGTAATAATAATAATGATAATAATAATAATGGTCTTATCAATAATAAGGATGAAATATTGAGACAATCTGTGATAACACGAATAATGAAAAACAGCACGTCTAAACAAACAAACGTGTTCAGGTAGAAGTGGCTAGTAAAAACAAATGAACCGATTACGTGATGGTAGACTGAGAGGGAAGTAAATATACTGTTTTAATGAAGATGTGATAAGATTAAGGGATGATAAGAAAAGGGTTGAAAATATAAACAAGGGGTAGTGTAGAAGTCTTTAGTTGGTTATGTCTCAATAGGCCAAGGGAAGGATAATGGCTGTACAAACTTTTTTGAATGCACAGTTTAGTCTTAATAGTTCGAATGCCTATCGCTTGCCTCAGCTGTGTGCAGTAGGCGAATACAAAGTCTATTGGAAAGATTCAGTGGGATACGATGAATTACTCTGAAAGCTCTCCTTTTCTCCACTACATGATCACTGTCAACTAAATGTGACAAAATGGAGCAACGGATTGTTTTTGTCTGTCCTTCACCAAACCACAATGGGAGATATTCAGTAACATGTTAGCTGGCTAAGCTGTCTAGTAGTAGTGTACCCAACATAACTGTCACTTCAGATGCAGTTGAATTGATAAATGCACATAGATGTGACAAAACTATCTAGCTTATCCTTCGTTGGCTAGGGAATGATAAGCAAAGGTTTTCTGCGTAAAACGGTTTTTGTGTACTCCTGGAAAGTCTCTGGAATGAAATCTTATTTGACAAGTCACTATTACATTGTAATTCAATAAATAGAGTTTTTAACGTGCAGTCGTAGTCTCAGGTTTTCTCTCCAATCTTTTCATATGTCTCTTTATGAAACTAATCGGATAGTCTATCTCTGTCAAGGAATCCTGAATAATATTCAAATTCCTTTAGAGTTAAGCCTAATGAGATCTAATTGAAGACAATACATTGATTGGACACTAGCAACTAGTGTTATGCGCTTAGTCCTTTCTTTGTTGCAGACTGAATTCTACCAGCCAGGTTTACAATGTGGCCACCCTTCTAGGTGGCTCGCCATCACGGTGCACATTGATTTGATGATATTAAATGGTCGGAGGCAATCGGCAGGAAGCCTTGGACCTGCACCAAAGAAAGGACTAGACGCATAACACTAGTTACTAGTGTCCAATCAAATTACCCGCTAGGGTACTACAGGAGGTCAATAGCTAGCCCCAATAGCTCAGTGGTAACGTCTCTGACTGCAGCACTGGATGACGCGGGTTCGAATCTCATAAAGGACGTGAGTTCCTTCAAGATTGCAGATACGCCTTGCTGACGAGTGCCGACCAGCACAAAACTTTGGTCCAAGGCTTCGTGTGGCCGATTGCCTCCGACCATCTAATATCATGAGGACAATACTGTTGGCTCGAGTGTATGTTCAGATACCTAACGAAACAAAAATCTATTTATTTCAAGTTTGATCAGGGATTAATTTATCAATCGGAGAGGCACTGAAAACTAGCTGGGCGTACTGGACAACTATTCCATCCTAGTGTGAGACTACTTACCGACAGTACCCAACCATCATAGGGTTTCGAACCCAGGATCTTCTTGTTACAAGAGACACTGATGGAATATTCAATGATTGGGACCCGACTCAATGACCAGCTTATGAATTTAAACTTCTATCAATTCTTGATTTCAGCGAGACCACCCACCAGCCAATGTCACACCAGCTAGTAGTTCTCCTCACTCCCCCACGCGACCAGCTGCACTCTACTAGCCACATATCACTAAAACTCCAGGTACCTTCATCCTGTAACTGGTCAGATTAATTTACAAGAGTTAGTCTGTAGGGATCTGATTTGACACTGGCTAGTGGTCGCATTCAAATCACGAATCGGTAGGAATTAGAATTCATGGACTGGACATAGAGTCGGGTTACAATGGTTGAATGGTTTCTAAGCTTCCCCTGTAATCAGAAGACCATGGATTCGAAACCCTATGGTCGGTGGGTATTTCCGATGAGTCCCAAACTAGGACGAAACAGCTGTCTAGTATCCCCAACTAGTTTCTAGTGGTTCTCTAACTGGTATACATCCATAGTCAAGCTTAGAACACATAAAATCCCTACAAACTAACTGTGGATAAAGGTCTACTTAAAAGAAGTAAAGATGCCCCACCGCTGAAGAGTGTCACAACAAGGTCAAAATATGTGGGGAACTGTAAGCTCGCTAGTCTAGGCACTTGAATATCAATCAACCTCTACAGATACATAGAAGTCGACACAACTAGAGATGGTATCATTATCCCTCAAATGCCAGGTGTTGCTTACACACCATCACAGTGAAATGATCACACAATCTCGGAGATACAAAAGCATCACTCATTCCCCTCATACAATTATATACATAACATACATGTATATATATACATGACTGTAGAACTTACCGCTGTAGTAATTTTCCCGAGAATACTTTCAGGAATTCGTGATTGTAAATGATTATAGACAAATTTATAAAATTTATCCAACGAAGTGGACATCATTTCCATACAAATCCAACAATCGCCTTCTTTAAATAATGCACCATAAAACAGGACAATATTAGGACAATTTGCTGAATTCATAACAACATCTAAATCTTTCAGCGTGTTTTTCTGTTCTCGTTCATTTAGTGTGGAACGAATTCTCTAGGGGATATAAAAGTTTAAAAAATAATAATAATAATGACAACAACATTAATGACGATAATCAACATTAATAAGTTGGTGGTTATTCAATGATGTAGGCAGACTGTTCGCCAATCAGCCAGTCAACCAATCATGCACGCGGTTCAGGTTCGATTCCCGGCTGACATACACGTTCATACTTCATTCAACCGACAGGAAGCTCTAAAAAGAGGACAGGTTGGAAGTGAGGTTAGCAAGTCTCCTCTTCGTAAGAAAAAAACATCATCGGGGTTGAAACTTCCCAGGAGAAAGCTTGAAGAGACCTACGTTCCACTCAAAACGCAGAGAAATGTAAAATAATAATAATAATAACGAACATTAATCATCAAATGGCGATCAAACCTCTACCTCAACTTTATAGACTTTGAGAAGGCCTTCGACAGACAGCGTTGACGGCCAAGTAATTTGGAAACTACTCGAGTACCACTGCCTACCCCAAACATTCATCAACCTTGTCTGTCTTCGACATAGAACTTTGCACAAATGTGCGCCAGTTCAAGTCGCCACACTCCGTGTAGCACGCGAAGCAAGAGAAGAAAGTACAAGAAAAGCATAATAAAGACAGTGAGCAGAGGTGTGAGACAAAGGAGTAATAACGAAGAACAAAACAGTTTCATTAGAGATCATAAGTCACAAGGAGTGGATGCATCTGCGCCACTGAGAACGATTTTGAGCCATGTCACCAATTGTTTCCAACCATAGATTTTTACCGTCCCGAGGACCCCAGCCTGGAAGTCTACACCTTCCTACGTGGCTTAGACCAACTGTTGTGGATTTCATTGACTGATGCCAAGTTTTTGTTTGACCGCCGCTAGCTTTTTTCCAGCCTGACCCTATATCCGCTAACATTGCTCGTCGAGGGAGGCGATGGCTTGGCATACGTAACACATGTCCTAACCATCTCAGTCTTTGTAGCTTCACGACTTCGTCGATTGATTTCCCCTGTTTACCTAGAACTCTACGCCTAACCTCAATGTTGCTCACCTTATTATGCCACTTTACACGGGAAATAGAACGCAGGCACCTATGATCAAAGACAGCTAGTCTTTTCATGTCTTCCACTCTCAGTGGCCAGGTCTCACAACCATAAAGGAGGACGGAGCGGACTGATGAGCAGTACACCCGCCCTTTGGTCGATAGTCGAACATCTCGTCTACGCCAGAGTCGGCGTAAACTGGCAAATGCGAAACGAGCCCCTTGTATTCGTGCTGAGATTTCGTCAGAGATCAACCCGTTGGGGCTGATGGTACTTCCCAAATAAGTGAAGCGGTCAACGTGCTCTACCACTTCACTTCCTATTTTTAAACTAGGCGTCGATGTAGTCCAGTCCTGTAACATCATCTTGCATTTGGCGGGAGCGAATCGCATGCCAAACATTCGTAGATTGCGGCTCAAGGTGTTTAGAAGACTCTGCATTTCGTCAGCGTCTTCGCCTAGAAGGACTATATCGTCTGCATATTCCAAGTCAACGAGATTATTCCCTCCGGTAGCAAGTCAATCCCTGAGTCGCTGAAGTCACCTAGGGTTAAGTCCATTAACACATCTATGATGAAGTTGAATAGAAAAAGGGATAATGGGCATCCTTGACGGACACCACTGGTCGTCATCAGTTCAGATGACAGCTCGCCGTAAGCCCTCACCTGGCTGTATGAGTACGAGTAGAGTGCCTTAATCAGTGCAATATATTTTCTCGGAATTCCCTTTACAGCCAAGCATCTCCAGAGAACTTCTCGATCGACAGAGTCGAATGCTGCCTTTAGGTCAAGAAATATAATGACTGTTGGACGCCGGTAGGAATGCCTATGTTCTAGAATCTGTCGGAGGGTGAAGATATGATCAATACACCCTCTTCCTGGTCTAAAGCCTGCCTGGCTCTCTCGTGTTTGTGCCTCCCGAGCACCACTCAGTCTACGCATGATTATTGAGCCTAAGACTTTAGATACTATATTAGTCAAGCTAATCCCTCTGTGATTATCACAGGAAGACTTGTCTCCCTTCTTGTATATGGGGATAATCAGTGACTTACACCAACCCGATGGGACTTCTTCTGATTCCCAGACGCTGCCTAGTACCTCAGTTAATCCAGACAGTAAGCTGTCTCCACCGTACTTAAATACCTCTGGAGTCATTCCATCAGGTCCCGCTGCTTTGCCTAGTTTCAGATTGGTGACAGCTTTAGTAACCTCAGTTAGTGACGGAGGACCTGTGTCTATATCCCATTCAGGGAGGTGTTGGATGCTCGGAAGGTTGAGCGTGGCTGTGGGCCAATTAAACTGCTCCTCATAATGCTCTTTCCAACGATCCAGTCGTCTATCCTGGGAGCTAATTATAGTGCCATTTTTTTCCGAGATTGTCTCACTAATGATTTGTCTTCTCCCACCCGTTTCCCTGATGAGTCTAAAGAGTTGCCTGGTGTTGCCTATCCTCGAAGCTTTCTCCATCTCTTTGGCTTTTGTCGCCCACCACTGTTCACGGTCCTTGCGGAGACTTTTCGTAAGTTTCCTCTTGTGCAGCTTTCGCTCCTCATTGAATTCGGAGCTCGCCGGAATAAGTCTTCTAGCATCTATCAGTTCGGATGAGGCGGTGGAGATCCAGTGGTTTTTACTCACCTTTGGGTTTACCTTATTCACAGCTTTTACAGCTGTATCTATGGCTGCCTGGATATTTTTCCAAGCTTCTTCAGGGTGAGCACAGCTGTCGAACACAGATATGTGTTTAGCTAGTTCTTCCTCAAATACGGATTTAGTTTCCTGATCGAGCTGGGGACGTGATGGTTTTACCGCCAGCTGTTTCCTACGTCCGTTCAGTCGTAAGCACACCCGAGCGCGGACCAGTGCATGGTCGGTATCTACGCACGTGTTCCAGAAGGAGCGACAATCTCCTACCGACCCACGCCAACGATAGCTTATTGCTATGTGGTCTATTTGTGTCCAGCGTTGGTTTGATGAAGGGGGTCTCCAAGTCAAACAGTGTCTCTCCTTGTGTTTGAAGTTAGTGCTTACAAGAAACAAATGATTATCAGAGCAGAACTGTAGGAGACGGTCACCGTTGTCGGTTCGCTGGCACGGAACTCCATAGGTGCCACCGACATCCTTCTCAGATTGACACAATTTCCCTACTTGAGCGTTAAAGTCACCAGCTAGAACGACTATGTCTGAGCGTTTAGCCTTTCGCACCAAACTAGACAGCTTTTGGTAGAACTCATCCTTCGTTTCATCTGAACTGCAGTCAGTGGGGGCGTAGGCGGAGATTACGAAAAGGCATCGGCGAGTAGTGCAGTCCTTTCTCCTTCTTACTGATCCGTTCAGGCGGACAGCACACATTCGGCTATCTACCGGGATCCAGTCAAGCAATGTCTTTTCTGCCCTAGTACTCAAAGCTATCCCTACGCCAGCTAATCCTCGTGAACTAGCTGTGGCATCTCCTGACACCCTCAAGGTGAATTTTGCAGATTCAACCTGTTGGCCAGGTGGGGTTAGGTGAATAACCACACTTGGGTCTTGTATGCGTGTTTCTGAAACACAGCATACATCAATGGCTCGTGATGCCAGGGTCTTGGCTAGTGATGCTTGTTGTCCTATTTGGCAAAGTGTCCTAACATTAAGAGCTCCTATATGAAATTGGTGGCGCGGCTTTAAGAGGCTGTCGGTGGTGGTTTTTTGGCTTCCATCGTTTTTAGTGGACGCAGAGTGGAGAGGAAGTGGAGAGCTATCAAGTCGAGGAGTTGCATCAGTGGAAGGAAGGCAAGATGATAGAGATGAAGATGAAGACAAAGATGAGTGAGTAATAGAGAGGTTTCGCGTGCGTTTCGGATTGTGAGGGCGATTGTTACTTCCCGGCTGCCCACACCGTGGAAGTTGGTTGCGTGACCGCAGAGCCCAGGGGACAACTGCTTGAGGCCGGTCACACGCGGCCTGTTTTTGTTTGTTCTTTTTTGTTTGGTGTGTCTCAGTAGCATATTTATCACTCCTGCCCTGTGACACGGCAGCAGGAAGCGCGGTCGTTGTTAATCCGGGCCACGGCCGATCCGGCATGAAATTTTGTATTTATCATGATGTTGGATTGGGTAGCTGCTTTTTGTTTAACCGCTATCCAAACAACCTGCCTGGCATGGTAGACCTCAAGAGACATAAGTCTCAGCCAGTATAGCTTGAATAGATCATTGCGGTGTTCAAGCCCGACCACCACGTCAAGGTAGCAGCTTTCGGCCGTGATTCATCAACTTTATTCAACAGCTGTACGACAACCGCACATGTCAAGTAATCCACAACAGAAAACTCAGCGAGGCGTCTGGAGTAAACACCGGAGTCAGACAAGCGTTCTTACTATCACCAATGACATTCGTAATTGTGGTGGACTGACTTAATTATACGTCAGACAGTGAGTGGGAAACGAGGAAACAGGGATATCCTGGATCGATAGACGTGAAGAACCTAGAAGACCTGGATTTCGCGCGTGGATGATTTCTGTTCGATGTCACTGTCACAAAATCGAGGAATTACAAGCGAAAATCGACCGACAAACAGGTCGAAGAAGCAGGTAGTGAAAACAGGACTCCAGGTGAAAATAAACGAGATGGAGGTAATGAAAATAACCAACCAACCAACAACAACAGCAACATCCAGCGTCAATCACCCAGAGACAACAGCGGACTTGATGACGCCATTGCTGGAGAAGGTGTGAGAAGAGGGCGAAGTACCCGAGGATTGGAAGAAAGGATACTCATTCAAACTACCAAAGAAAGGAGACTTAAGTCAATGCAAAAACTGGCGCGGAATTATGCTCCTGTCCATCCCAAGCAAAATACTAAGCCGCATCATCCTGGGGAGAATCAAACACGCCAACCTGGATGAAAACTTCGACCGGAACAGGCTGGATTCAGGAGAAGCAAGTCATGTATATGTCAAATCGCCACACTACGGATCATCACTGAACAGAGTTTCGAATGGCAGTTGCCCCTC